TGAATATTATTGATATTCTGTTCAGCAGCCATGTTGTTGATGACATATATAATTTCTGAAGTGTTCATGGGATGTAATTTCTCAATGATGTCATACGTCTTCTGATCAATCTTAAAGGGGCAACAAGGACTGTAGGAGAAAATTCGAATTTTTTTGAGCTATTAGGTCAATATTTGGCTTAACACCTTCTTTGACATACCTATTTTCTTAAAATGTATGGATAAACTATCAATTTCAGCATTAAGAAGTGTAAATTCAGTTCAAAGCTTCTATAAAGGGAGTCCCACTTATAGATTTTTAAGATCCACCACGTTTCAAGAGGAATATCAACTGAAATAAAGTTCATCCAGGGGGTTTCTTTTTAGATAATGAAAATATATGTTAGTCTTGATGAAATATCCAAAGTTAAATATATTTTGACACTGGTCGATGATCGTTGAATGGCCCCCTGTACTAATTGTTGCACTTTTAAACTGCTCTGTGGTGTAATTGTATTTTTATGAATCGCTCCTTTGATGTCATCAATAGGTGTTTTCAAGGTATCTTAGTACAACTGTTTATTTACCAACTATCAAAATGGATTCAAAAATAAAATTAAGTATGAAAATGTTCACACATCAAGACGGTTATTTTGAAATCTTTTCGTGCAGACCTGACCCACCTCGAACCACTTTAGGCTCAAATGGAGGTCAGATTATTAAAGCTAACCCTTTCAGCTTTCCAATGGCGTATTGAAACTACACTCTATTTTCAAATATCAAATCTTATTTCGGCCGAAAAGAAAAATGCTGATGCATTTTGTAGCATAATGGGGCCCACTGCACTTAATGACCCCTATCTCAGCTTATCTTGGTTCAAACTATTAATGTTCTCCAAAGTATAATTTGACATTTAATTAGTTATTTTAAACCTAAAATTAATCCATTCTTGCAATAAGGGTATTTGTCTCAGCTTTCCAATGGTGTATTGGAACCGTAGTTCAGAGATGGTCATTTACATCACGCTAGTTTGCTCTACTATATATCAAATGTCTACAATTGATACCATATTAACATTCAATTTCTATATGATCTTTGCACAGTTCCTTCATTTCGTTCTTGTTAAGAATAAAGGTATTTTTAAATTAAATACAAATGTACGTTGGTTTGTTATTACTAGTATATCATATGAATGCAGTGATATTAGAAATCATAGAGGTATCTTTGAAACCTATGCCACGTTTTAAATTGTAAACTTAGCTCTGATGAAATATAGTTGGCTTAAGCTGCTGTCACACTAGCCATGTAGGCTCACCGTTCGCCAACGCATACAGGAACAACCCCTACGCATACTAATGGAATGAATTAAAAGTAAGTGGTTTCGGGACGTGTTTCCAAAAGTATTCTGAAACCGTTCACTATTTTGTAAACCACGATTTTCTCCCGATTCTTCTAAGCCATTCAGATTTTGTTTTGTATACCCCAATTTTATCCCAATTTTTGTTGTGAAATCCCGATTTTATTCCGATTATTCCAAGCAAATCCGATTTTATACCTATTTATTTTTTGGTTATCCCGATTTTATCCCGATTTATTTGTAATATCCCGATTTTATCCCGACTTTTTAGAATTATTGATTTAGTATTTGTAACCCCGATTTCCTTTACAACATCCCGACTTCCTCCCGATTTTCACCAAGATTTTCTTTGATCCCGATTCCTCGAGATTTAAAAAAAATATCCCTATTTCTATTTTTTACTTGACAGGTACAGGTATGTAATTATGTCAGACCTAAAACATGAAATATTAATAAATATAAAAAATATTTACTTTATTCCGAGGGACAATATGATATTTGCCGAAGGCCAGAGCGAAATATCATATTGTCACGAGAAATAAACCCATACTAAATATCGACCAGTGAATAAGCTAATATTCCAAAATATTCATAACTCTCTTCATAAAATCATTAGTTCAATATCCATATCTGATTTTTGTATGAAAGAAAATCAGACTATATTTAGTCTACAAAATATGACATAACTTTATGAAATTTTGAAATATAACAATTTTATTGTATAACATGAACTTAAACGCATCAATATAAAGAATCAAAAATATGGGATACACGTTCATCAGGGCATTCGCTTATTGCTCAGATTTATATGACGTCGACTGTGTCAGAGCATGATGATACGTTTTTAAGAGAACCTGTAATAGAACTTAATTATGGTCTTCTATGTAGATCTCGTCTACGTAGTATTTCTTTGCCCACTTGATATTGAAGATATTGGAAAAATAGTTGCAGTAAGCTCCTTAAAAACAGTTGAAATGGGGACAATTATCACTTGTCTTGTCATAAGTAAGTCCACGTTCGCGCACGTGGAAGTTATCTACCAATGTGTAAACCTCGTACTCCATAATTGCCTCTTCAATACTACCTTTTTATCACAAGAACACCATGTGACTTGATATCAAAACAAACATCCACCACAATGTGGCGTCCGTCTTTTTGGGATGAAATATTCAAAATGAGTAATCTTTTGGAAATAGACCACGGATAAATCATAATTTAACTATTTTATGCTCATGTCAAACACTGTTTACAATAACTTAATCTCAAGAATTTTTGATTTTCAACACATGTATCTAACGTGTCATGTAACAAGTTTCAATCGAATTTGAAGGATGTAGTCACTTAGCAACGAATAAGAGGACTGAAGGCCATTCTGCCTAACATATCTGTTACTCGGAATATCCATTTGCATGAAAGGCATGCTTTTGAAGATAAGAAAACGGAATTGTGCGACTTTTTTGAATCGTCCTAGCAAAAATAAAAGGATTTATAAGTAACAGTTATATCATTTTTCATGTAACATAAATATGCTTGATGTTTATAATCCTCCCAGATGGTACTGAACATAAAATCAACATATATGTCCGAATGAAATATAGTCCTACGCAAATCGTAAAGCAGGGACGACTGAGCAAAAACAACAAATATCTAACGAAAAGCAAATGTCCCAACAAATATTTGACAAAAATTTCCTAAAACTTGGATGAACAGAATCGCCCCTCTTGGCCGAATGAATGACAGGCATAAGCAAATGTTTGCTCACAGCAACCATCCTTGTCATGCGTATTATCATGACTCCATTTCATAAAGTTTGTGACGATTTCTAGCTTATCTTACCATATATCAATGTATCAATTTTAATGAATTTCATTTATTGCATTTTCAAATGCGTCCATATTTCATGAGGTCTTATTCAGAATTGAAACAATTCGATTTGCACTCTCCCATTTAATTCAAGTAAAGATGTTTAGCAGAAAACTGTATTGTACAACCATCGACGGTCCTAGAAATATGTGACATCTATGTGCATGCGGTCGCAATCTATTTTCTAATGGTTACTCCTATCGGTAACGGTAGTTGACTGAGGGCCTTATGGTATCTACAACACTAAACTAAATGTTTACTGCCAGGGCATTATGGAGGTTATAATAACAAAAGCAATGGATATTAAATAAAAAATAATATCCTTTATTGATTTGGCATTTTACAGATATACTAATGACATATAAATGATAATATCAACTATATTCTACTGCACAACTTACAAATATATGTATATTTAGTACATTACAATTAATTATCTTGGAAAGCACCATCCGTTTTAGCTGTACTTGTACCTTGGAGTAATTTCACTTATAAAAGTACATTCAGTTTGTGCATGGGCTTTCCACAAAAAAGCCCATGGTTTGTGTAAACATTCTTCAGTAAAGGCCCATAAACCAGAGGCATATAAAACATGTATAACTTCAGATATGTAAAGGAATGAATTGTCTTACTGTGAATTGTCTTACCTTACTCCAAGCAATGGTTTTCACAGAATCTACAGTAGCAACATGGTGTCACCAATGATGCGTTTGGTTTGTTGTTAGGATTTAAAAAATCTATTTTGAAATGAACGCCAATATGCGAACAAAATATGAAACATCCTAAACGATGTAAAAGAACTGGCCGATAGTTTAATAATACTGGTCTATAGATGTAATTGTCACCAGTACATTCCAAACATTAAATATTTCCAAACCCTCATCTCTAATCAAATTGTGTGAAATGAAGTACTATATTGTCCATGAACGCAAAGTGTAAAGCAGGATGGGATTGTCGTCTGTCTTAGAGACCATTTCTCAGGCACTGGTTGGTTTCAGGGACAATTTGACTGCATGAATGAAGAGCGTTCATGTGTACTAATTGAAATACCATTATGTTTATACGTTGCTTTGCATTTCTGACTCATTCTTCAGCTGTATATCATTGTTTGATTTACATTTAAGTTTCAGAAGTATAAATTAATGAAACCTCTACATGTACATGGTTAAGGTCAAATTCATTAGATTGTTCTGACCTTCAACCGATATGAATGAATGTAAAATGAATCAAAATCTCAAGCTTGTGTGTGCATTTGTCTACAAACACTTTCCTTCCTGCTTTGGTCATAGACTAATGACATATTTACAGTGGAGCATTCCTCAATAATATACATGTACAGTAGCAAATTATCAAAGATATGATGAAACAATGGTTGTTAATGTATATTTGTCTCAATTTCTCATACAGTCATACATAAACATCCGTTTTGATATTTTCCATTAATATTTCCAAAGATACAAACACACATTTGCTGTATCTCAGTTCCAACTCCAACTTGGGATGGATGTGTGTACATAATGGTTGTTGTACCCTTATAACAACAGATGTTTGTTCATGAGTTTTGTAGTTATGCATTCCATGCAAAGGTACATGTAGGCTTGTTTTCACAAGAATTTTCTCGTATTCCCTGCTTACATAAAGGCTACAAGTGCAATGCCCTCATAAACAAATGCTTGTCTTGTGTGTATTGTAAGTTATACAACATGCTTCCTGTGTGTCCTTTTTATATTTATGGTATACCTTCCAAGATGCATCAAGTACAGGGCAACACACAAAAAAATCATGAGGATTCCTACATAATTAAGAAATTTATTCCAAAATTAGTGGGTGTCACCTTGTTTGTACTTGGAACATAAAGGCTGGTGCCATAGTTTCATAAAAAAATGATTCTTGTAGTATGTCTTGTATATCTTGTATTAGTTTGTGCACTAACACACAAGCACGCATACTTAGGCCACTGTCATGCCTTGTCTTGGTCCATTGGTATTTGGACAACTCGGGGGGCAACTTATTCTAGATTTTGTGTTCTATTGATTCTAATTAGAATACGTCCAGTTTGTGTAATCTCGACAGCAAATTTTGTCCAGTGCACATGTAGGTACAAACAAAGGTCATGTCTTTCCAGCAGTTGCAAAGAACTGAACCTGCAAAACATACATAACATTTGAACACTCGTAAAATAAAGTGACATTTGATAAACAATATATAGTAAATGTGATATTGTAATGTCAATCATTGCAAAAGAAATAAAAATACAATGGTAACATAACAGTGGAAAAAACGTAGTAATGAGTGCCTACTTCTCTTTTACAAAAGGTTAAAGGTCAAAATGTATCTATACCCATGTTTGTCATTTCGATTCATGTTCAATTATTTTGTTGTTTGTCACTGAATAAGATGCAATGCAATACAGACACAAGTAGAGTACATACCACACTCTCGCCAAGACTAGAGAAGCTGGCTTTACGCTGAACATTTGGGCTGATGGCATCAAGCATTCCACTACGACTCTCCTTCACCTGCTGATCCTGAACAGAAACATTTACTCAACTAGTGATCCAAATAGTAAACTGGTTATTTACAAAATAAATAATAACACAATGATACAAAGTGTAAAACATGTCCACATACTTAACACTTCCCAAAATGCACAAGAACTAATCAGTAAAACGTTAATACATGTTCCAAGAAACATCCCTAGAAATTTCAGATCGATCTTTCAAACTGTTCAGCTGCAATCGCAGACAAGACATTTAAGACTAAATTTTCAGGATGTTTGTTGCAGTTTTGGAGGATACTGTAAGTACAGACAGGTCTTGTTTACTTTTCTAATTTGAAGCTATGATTTTCAGGTATGATGCATCAGACATTTTCATTTAAAGTTGAAAGCTACTGAAAAGCATACAGTAAACCTGTCTAATTCAAATGCCTCTGGGACCAGTCAATATTGTTCGGATTAGGAGGTGTTCATACAGTACATGTATCTCAAGATTTGTGCAGCATGTCGGCCAATGAGAGACAACAAGCTTGGAACTGAGAAAAAGTGCTCACATTGAGAGCTGTTTAGATAAGAGAGGTGTTTGGATATACAGATTTCACTGTAATTGGATTCAAAGCAGCATTTCTATGAAAACAGTCAAAACCCAAACCATGAAGACATTATAAATGACATGTAACACTTGCTTGCCTGTATTGGATTACTGAAACCTACTGGTACTATCAAGGGGCCAAGACTTGAAGTACTGGATCGTCGTCTCCTGTTCTGACTAGGAGGAGACAAAAGGCTTGGATCCTGGTGGTGCAGAAGTTGACAAGCATCAACACTGATTTCTGGTTTGCTTCTACTTTCTAGCTTGCTCCTTGTATGTTGTTCCCTCTCCCTACCATCTCCTGCCCCTCTTCCATCAGGAACTCCCCTTCCATCATGAGCCCCTCCTCCCCTGCTGTCACGACATTGGAAACTTTTCCTCCGACTCCTTGGTGAGATTTCTCTCAGTGATGATGTCTGGAAAAAATGAAAGAATATGAATAGTTGAAATCTTGCTTTTGTTATGAAAAGTATCACTTGAAATTAAAAAATCTTGCTTTTGCTATGAAAAGTATCACTTGAAATTAAAAAAATATTTATAGCACACGAAGGATGTGATATAAATGCACACAAGTAAATATAATGAATATGATGAAATAAATTGTTTTAAATGATTGTTATAAAGAGTGAAACCAGTCAAAAGGGAACATCCTAAAAAGGGTCTCGTGAAAATGAACATTTGTGACATAATGGCAAATCCAGATTTGAAATCTTGCTTTAGTCATGACAATTTGATGGTATCATCCCAAATTGCACACAAATAAATATGATGAATACTGAATACTAGTGAGAATGGGTAATTCCAATTTCAAATTTCAATTGTAAAAAGGAGCCAACCAGTATCTATAATAAATAAGTTATAGTTAGCTACTTGAACAAGTAGAGATTACAGTACTCACAGAATTGGAATTAGGTGAATTAGATTTACAAGATGTAGGCTGGATACCATGAATACTGGAGTGCCTTCTTTGTGGGGTAGGGCTGTATGTAAACTGTTTCCTACTTGCTTGTACCTCTGGGGTACCTGGTGCTAAAGAGAAACATAAACATTGATGAATATACGAGGGTATATCATAAAGTTCTCATAATATCTCTCTAATTTTTTTATTTTTCAATATATTCTGATGAATTTTTCACAGAATGTGAAGTAAAGAATGCTCTATTAATCTATCAAAAAATATTTGGTATAACAGAAATATTATTTAAGAAATGGTTGCCATAGTAACCGGAAATCAAGACACCCGGGGCAAATAAAAAATCGCACAGGAATAGCCCCAACTAACCATGTTTAAATGCATAATAAGTTATCAAATAAGCTATGAAACACATCAAATTGTTAAATACAATGTATTCTTGACTGTTTTAAACTATTATAATGGTCATGTGAATTGTGTGATCTCATAATGGATGATTGTAATGCTTCATTAGAAGTGATGTTAGACACTACAACTGTTTTGTCAAATATTCCAAGGAAAGTAGATTTTCCACTTTAGTTCATCTTAAATAAATAATAGACCACACATAGGGTGTAATTATATTGATATCTTTGCAACATATTTGTTTTAGATCATCTTTAGTATGAACAAAGGACTTTTCAAACTAAACTTAACTTTTTATCAGCGTGAATATTATTTTTCTGATGTTCCCTGCATCTATGCATTATCTAACTCAGTCATTTCTGATCATTAAGCTTTGATTCTCAGAGTCTGGTATCACATCTAATGAAACATGTAAACATCCCCTATGACACCACACAATCCACATGATCAATTTATTTTATAGTTAAAGCATTTAACAACATATTCAAGTTAACATTTTAATGAGTTTGGTAATTTATGAGAGTTTATTATGTATGTAAACAAGGTTAATTAAGCTCATTCTCTCAATTATTTTTATGTGCCCCGGGTGCCTTGATTTCTGGTTACTATGGCAACCATTTCTTATCTAATATTTCTGTTATACCAAATATTTTTTGATAGATTGATAAAGTATTCTATACTGCAGATTCTATGAAAATTTCATTAGAATATATTGAAAAATAAAAAATTAGAGAGATATTATGAGAACTTTATGATATACCCTCGTATTCATTGTTGCTGTAAGTATGTGAAGGAAATAACAGAGATCAACCTGGCTATGATGTTAAATATCGTTATATAATAAATTATGCTCATAGACTTTATAATATTTAATTTGCCTATTTTGTTTTATCAGTATTTTCGATGGGTTTTATACATGGTTATTAATATGTTGTTTTCTTGTGAAGTTTGTACTTAAAATCTAAAATGCATTTTGTTTTAACATACACTATCTACTTATTCAAACAAATCAATATATAATTTAGCAAATTAATATATACCGGTAACGACCTATGTATGCAATGTACATGTATGAAAAGGTTTTATATGTACCACATATATAAAAAATATATAATATTACAGTTGGCATTATTGTCAAACTACATTTTTTTCATTCATTTATTAATTTAGAACTACGGTTTTGTATCAGCAGCACACCTTCACAGGTGCGTCTTTACAGTAAAACACACCGGCTTGGTGGGCAAGGCTAAATATAACTAAAATTGCGTCTATAGGTTCTTAAAAAAAAAATTGGCATATAATGGCTAATTGCAGAAGGTATTTTTGCTGTGTTTGTTGGGAACAAACTCAAGGATAAAAAAATTGAAAATCGTAAGTAAAATGTTTCATAAAATAATATTTATGATTGCATAATGAAATTTAAATACATCGATTTTTTCTAATATCGAAGCATCTACAGTTAATGCTAGCTACCTTAGTCTACATATCTAGTATAAACTATAACGAATACATCATTAAACAAAAATAATAAGAACTCACAATTTAAACGACTTAATCTCTCACCTAGTAAAAATAAAATGGCAGATGTTAAACTTGAATTTGTTCAAAAATTAATACTTTGCAAATAAGAGTTGCATGAATTGTTGACGACTATTTTGTTATCGTACTAGAGCAACACATTTATGATGTAACACAGGGGAACTATTGAATTGTTAGTAATGCATGACTTGGTTAGTTAAGATTGAGCTCATGCTTACATGTATTTTTCCTACTAACCATTCCTGTCCATTTTCAGTGAAAGTTGTAAGAAATCAAAGATGGTTCTCTCTCATCTCAATGGATCTTTGACAAAATGTTTTTCAATTAGGTTCCAGATTTGGAAATTAGGATGTTTCAAAAATAAGCAGTATGGTCAGAATTGGTCAGCATGGAAATGTTAATAATACACATGTATTTTATGTTTACAATACCTAAAGATACACCTTCATCAACTAATGTGATTAGTGGAAATGCAAAATGTAATTATTAGTAATTGTTAAGAAATTGATTTTTATATTTATATGATGGTCCTGTATACCATGTTTAAATCACTCAAATGAGTAAACTGTCTATCTGGTATTACACCATATTATCACAGAAAATTTACAACAATATTCAGAATAAGACAGCTAACTGGTTCAGGTACTAATAAATATTGCTGAAAATCATTTGAAGGGTTTTTTATTTCCAATTTAGTTGTATAATAACAGCAAAATGTCACCACCTACTATTTGTTACTGAAGCCAAATGCCAAACACTGAACTCAGAACACAAACAGCTAAACACCAACCACAGATCGTTGACACAAAAAAAGTTGGAGACTGTACCAATATGTCATCACTTTTGATGGTGACATATAAATTCGAGAAAATGAATACTTTGAGTACATTTTGAAGTAAAAAGTTAACAAAGTATGAGAACACTAGTAATAATAAATAGAGGATGAGAACACTGGACATACATTGTAATAAAGAGGTGGATTGGTATTAACTATATTAGCATTTTATGGCAATCTCAATCACCATATTTACAACTCCATAGATGGAATGCCTGCATGTATTGAATATATGTTAAAAGTTGGATATAAAACTGTGAGCTACTTTTTATTTATTTCATTAAAACATATTAACATTTGTACATATTTGTGGTCATGACACCTGCATAGGTATGTAATTGACCACAATATAAATATCTACTATCTAATACTGTGCCCTCAATTTGTTCTAAGACATATCCTAGGTATCTAAGATATTATTTGAGCCATTACACTTGGACATCCCTGTCTGGTGAAGAAACCTAGGCGACATTGCCTCTTTAAGAATTAAACATATCAATATTGTATTATTAATATGAGTTAAACTGTCTTGAAAACCTAGGCATGTAAAGAGGAAATTCATCCATGAAAGTACAACTTAGACAACTATATGTGCAGACTTGAAGGTGAATAAAGCTTACATCTCCAAAGATTTATATGTGATCAGGATCAAGAGCTAATCTTTAAAAAATAAATAAGAAAAAATATATTATTTGTACTTACAGGACTTTGCCTTTTGTATAGTTTTAATGTACTCATCATCTACACTAAGGAATTGTTTGTTACTATGAGGTTCATCAACTGATTGAGAAGAATAGCCTTCACTTTTGGATATGAGGAGTTCTTCCAGGCGAGGTTTGTCAACCATGCTATGTCTGTGCATCTTGATTGACTGCCTGGAGATAAGAAGTAGAAATATCCAATTTAAATGTTGCACCATTACAAGTATTAAAAATTTGTGGTTGATACTGTAAATGCATGCATATCATAGTAAAAGGATTTGTGGCTATATGGAAGTTATCATGCTGATTAATTATCTTCTCAAATTTATATAATTTACATATTAATCTATGTGGTGTGAAGAATGTTTTGACCACAAAAGAAATTGCTGAGCATGTGTTAAAAGTCACGTTTGTTAATCAGACAAGGATAAATTCAATACTGAAAACAAACTTTTGGCTATTAAATCCACATATATTTTCAAATGTTACCTGCACGGAGTGTTATAGTTCATCCCTTCTATTTTCATTTTATTTCTCCGCTGTTTATCAATAATACTAAGCATTTCTTGAAGAAGTTCAATAAGTTGGCTGAACTGAAATTGTAAAATATATACTAGACTTTAAACAACTGAAATTGATTAATATGGCATGGAATTAGTACAGATTCAAACTGCAAAGTTAATACTCGAAATATTTAATTATTTATTCAACAATAATTACATATATTATTAAATGGTTTGAGGATATACATGTAAACCTGCTTGCTCCATTGAGAGGCCTTAGTGGTATATGGGGGACTTACCTGTTCCATTGTGAGGCCTTAGTGGTATATGGGGGACTTACCTGTTCCATTGTGAGGCCTGGATGGACTGTGTATGGTATAAGTGGAGGCATTACTTTTGTAGCAATCAAATTGTGAGTCAGCCCAAATTTCTTGTCACTCAACATGTGTTTGTATATACCTGTTAAAACATTCATACATAAGCAAAGTTCATTCAGAATATAAGAAGAAACAAAATTTAGAACCATTATGAACAAGATAGAATATAAAGGTTTTGTGTATACTATTAGCCTATGAGTAACATTACATGTATGTATAAATGAAACTAGATAATTGATGATACCGATTACTGCCATTAGAACTTCTGTGTCCTGGTAGTTGACATCTGTAAGGAAAGGCAACACCTCATCTAAGATAATCATCTTATCAATACTGTCTAGGAGACGGTCAATACAAGCCAGGGCATTCATACGCATCTGAAAATTACCCAGATAAATAATAAATAGTAAGATAACTTGCTTTTTATTTGGATGTATTATTTCATTTTAATGGCATATGAATCCAAAACTATTTGTCTGGAAATTAACCCAGTATACCAAATAGTTCTAGATTTTCTTACAGAGAAACAAACAAGAAAATTGATTACCATACCTTTTTATGTGTAATAAAATATAAATAAATGGACTGCTTACCTTGGGATTGGTTGCTTTTATGAAAACACTTTTAGCTTTTGGTAGGACTGTTTTCCTCATGACACTGTCATCAAGATATTCACCTATTGTGCCTATAGTGGCAATGGCAGCTTCCTAGAAGTACAGTATCTCACTTTACTAATTGTCTTGATTTTATTCTACATATGCATTGAGACACTGGGTGCAGCATTTGATTTTTTAACACCTATTTGAAGTGTGTATGCAACCAGTTCAATGCAATCACGGTCAATAATTTGGCCCATTTTACAATTTCTTCATAAGATAAGTGTGTTACTTCATAATTATGTTTTTTGACAAGAATCAAACCATAAGCATTTATAACCACCCATAACAATGTAAATATCTTATATATATTATATCAATACATGCTTATATATAACAAGCCTATTTTGAATAAAAATATCTTTCAATTTGAATACTAGTACATATACTATAATGTGAATCGTGTTCATATAGTCGCAATAATATTCATATGAATCGTTACATTGAGGAATGACCTTTGATGAAGAAAAGCTGCTATCATGTATGTACCTGTCCTTGCAGGGAATTTGAGTCCAACATATTCATGATGATTGGCAAAATGTCTGTTTTTATCTCTTCTTTTGGCATTTTAGCTAGCACTATATCAAGATTATCCAGTAATAATACTGTTGCCTGTAAAATAGAGGGCAGTTAAGTAATTCTGCATTAAGATAAAAAAATGTGTAAAAACAAGAAATGGATCATGCATTATTATCAAAGAATATGTATTGAAAATATTAAGTGATGGTCTATGAGAAATTTCCTGCTCATCTCATTGAAACACCTTACCTGTACAGGCCTCTGCATACAACAGAGTTGTTTAAAACCTGGATAGATCTTCTCTGCAAACTCCTGGTGAGTTGCCACCTCTGTCATGGCTATAAATACTGGAATAACATTGAGAAGCAAGTCCTGATTCTTCAGCTCCTGACACAACCTTGGGAAGACATGGCGGTACAACAGTTTCTGAAAAGTTTTGACAAAGCTTTTAAGGATTGACAGACTTCAGTTTGAACATTGATAGCAACGATTACCCAAGTTTGAGAGAAACAACATCTGAACCTATTCTCCTGTATAAAGGCAAAATCTGCGAGCCCTTACTATAATCAAAAGGCCTGAAATTATGGTAACCATGACAAATATTTACCTTAGGTATTTCTGGGGTGATCATCTCTAAATCCTCTAAAAATTCTGTCTTGAACTTCTTGTCTCTGGAGTCCATCATCTCCAGTGTAAATAGGCACTGAACCACAGCATCATTGAAGTACTTTAACTGAAGTAATGAATTAGACAAATGCCATCAAGATTCAATGAGACATATCTATTTATTTCATTTATTAAAAGAGGACACACCTATTCCCAAAAATTTTCAACATCATCAACGCTCATTTATGAGAAGCTGACAAAGTTAAATTAAAATGTATTAATTGAAAAGAAGTATTATATTAAAATGTGATGCACTAAATTAATATAATATAACCTGCATATAATGTGGATTTTTTAAAATAAAATATTTTGCTCCAAATATGGAAATAAGAAGTGTCACAAAGATAAGAACTAAACATTGTATTGACAGTTTCTAACATCCTACATCTTCTCCAACATTCTGACACCATTATCATCATTCAAAAAAATTAAAGAAATTAATCCCATTTTGAAGCTTGATCTTTTAGCCATTATTACAATATTAGGGTTATTTGAAATGTTAATGGCTGGAGTTAATGTTCATGATATCGTATTATGATGAGTATGCAAAAGAATTCCGCCTTCATATATCACGATTATGATATGTCACCAGATCCATGCAGACATATTAGTCCTGATGTCTGGATATATCACCACCCACATTTACAATAAACTAGAAATCCCTTGGGGAGTTTCATGAACCAGTAAATGTTGATGATCATTCATTCTTGATGGGATTGGAATGCTGTGTTGTCAAGTTAAGGAGCAGAAATATTTTTCAGGGAATCAAGAACAACATGTTTTACATAGTGTGACCAAACTTGATAACATTTGCTAACAAAGATCCAGATTTTGTCAACAGTTTTTGCTTAAAAGGGCACAACTTTGCTTAAAAGGACACATGCTACGTGACCCTCTACTTTTCTAGTTTCATGAAAAATGGTGAAATCTGAATGATTCAGAAGTACAGAGATTCTCATATCTCTAATACTTCATGCCTTTTTCATAGATCCAAAAGGTTTCCATATTCTATGTCAGGGAAAACAAATAAATTGTGATCATTCTTCTGTGAATTTGTCAGGAAATTAAATGGACTATATTCAAATATTTAATTTCTTAGAATCTGTGATGTATGTTATGATATATATCAAAGTTAAGTAGTTAGTAGTAGTTATTAGTTATAATTAAGTACAGTGTAGTTATAAATCAATTTATTTTAAGAGTGTTTGGTTTTTTAGTCTGGCATTGTTGTTGAACAGTTGGATCAGGAGGTCATTAATGACACTCTTTTTATACATCTGTAGTTTGGGATCTGGATGTTGGGGTATTGTCATAGTATTAATGATTGTATGATCGAAGTAAAATTTTCTTTATACAATTACAAATTAAAGAAGTAATGGGTATTCAACAAGGAAAACTTGAAATTTCAAAATGGTGTATCATATATCAACTCAAATACAAGCATAATTATGATACATGATCAAGAGGTGGGTGAGTGATCCATCGATTTTACTCTACAGTGGAAATGAACCATATATTCAAAGGATACCAAATTTATAACAACTAGCTGACTGTAAGCATAAAAATGAGTTGTGTATGAACTAGATGAAGCCTTTACCTGGGTAAACTGCTGCGGGGTGGGTCTGTAGCGAATGTCACGCTGAATCATCTTTTCAATGGGCTCAACCAAACCAAGAGGCATATTCTGGGCAACATCACTAAAGGCATTGTGCATCTAAAATTGAAAGGAAACTTCAATCATCTTAATTATTGCATTATTATACTCTCACAAATCCCCTACTGGAAATGTTCATAATATTTTACTCTTTCATATTTTCAGCTGAAGACACAATCCATTTACTTTTGAAGAGCCTCCTCCCAAATTAATGATGATGGTGCCATACATATAATCTTTCTTTGCATGTGTACACTTGGGTAAAACTAACAAATTGATTGTCTTTAATTCTGAAAGGCGCTGAAAAAAGTTTATACCACTTTAGCTTATATTGTAGTAGTATAGATATGCTTCAACTTCACTTATTAACACTTATTGCAATTCTCTTGCTTTAGTAATTCAATTTGAGTAACATGACTAATTATAGCAGATACACATGTACTGTATGCCAAGTGTTATTCTATAGTTAATTTAATGTAGTTAAGTTAATGTTAATATAGTTAAGTTAATGTTATTCTACAATTAATTTGTAACAACATTGTTTAACATAAACATTAGCAACATTGTCTGGACTTATCATATTAAAGTTAATAAAAAAAGCTAACCTCATTCACTTTCTTCACATATAAGGTTGGATTTTGCTGCGACTCTAAGAGAGATTTGCCTCCATTATAAAGAGCACATACAACCATTCCAAGGGAAAACATATCTGCTAAATTTGTACATGTTTTGTCTATTTGGATCTCTGGAGCTATAAAATCCAGATCTGGTTGTGTCATCTTTGCTGCTTTTTGGTTCCACGGTATACAAGGAAAGGAATCCTGTAAAAAGACATTCTAAGTCTTAAGATAAGGAGAACTACGTATTCGAACATTACAGCCTTATTAACAATACAATATGGCTGGTGTTTGTTCTTCTACATGGATGATTTAACATTAGGAATTCTATTAAATTGACGCTGTCTGCAAGCTAAGCCATTTGGATTGAAATAACAAGACAATGGCAACTCCCCAGAGTAATATACCCCCACATACAAACATATTAATGTTTAAGGAATAAAGCATATTTAACTTCATAAAAGAATCAATTTTTGAAGTGGCAGCTCTTTGAAAAACATTTTTTGGTGTACAACTTGTTACCATTATTACATAATACATCTTTCTACAAAATATGAAAAAAGTTATGCTCCAGACAGACAACAGACAGACAGAATGGAGGTCTTCACTTTATTTTTATTAAACTCCATCCATTTTGATAATGAAGTGGATCCTAAAAGAAATTACAAACCTTCCCATCTGTTGCTTTTGCCACAAAGCCTAAGCCAGCAAGTTTCCATGTCCCTCTCTTGGTGATCACAATAGATTGAGGACAAACATTACCATGAATCAATTGCTCAACATTATGGAGGTAGTTCAAAGCCTCAGACAGCTGAAACAATCATTTCAATAATATTATAAAGTTAACAATTAATCTCAAGATTAATTAATATGGAAAATGTGCAAGGAATCAATTGTCTAATCACTTCTTATTATGTCATCATGAATTCAAAAAATTAATTGTGATCTTTTGAACAGAGCTCTGAACAATATTATGTCTTTATAGTGAGTGTATCCCTTAGTGAAGAAATGTACCCCTGATTGGATAAAAAGCAATGAAAAGAATTGTATGGATCTACAGTACATTGTAATTATCTCTTTTAGGGTTATAAATTACAGTAAAGAGATCATTTCTGGACATGTATACCTCCATTTAAGACATAAAGAAACAAAAAGAGTAACATGTTTCTGACCATAATGTACTGAAGGAGGATTCCTACAAATACAATTAACACTATTAAGATTGAACTTAATAGCTTACCTGGAGAACTCCAAACTTCACTTCAATTTCTGTAAACTGCAGTGCCTGAAAAGAAACAAACAAAATGTTAATCCAATGCAAATGGTGAACATCATCATACATTTTATAAATAATTTTAAAAACTGTCTTAACATTTACATAGCATGCTTTAAAGCGTCAATCCAGATTTTCATACCAAGAAACATCAACAATGAAGATTTCACGCCAAACCAACTAAATGTTTGTCTTGAAACATGCGGACAAGAAAAGTGAATCACTGCTGCCACCAACCTGGGAAGCTGATGACAATACTGTACCGTTTTAGGTAAATTTAAACTATAATTCAATCAAAATTTGTTTCCAAAATATCCACACCATTTCTTAAACTGTGACTCTATTCATAGACAATTAATAAGTGAATTAATGAGTAATAAGATACCAATAGATATAGATAATGTAATGTTGTTATTTCAATTAGCTACTGAGACTTGCTTTAATAACGAGGGTTACATAAAGGACACACTAATCATCCTTGAGAGCTCATCATACCATCCTGAAATTCAATCAATGACACACCTACTCACAATATAATGGCTCAATTTGAGGCAACGGAGGAGGGAAGATACACAATAACATTCTTCTGCAATCGTGATATCCGCACCTCCTTTGTTTTGAACTTTCAAAAGAGGTGGACGATAAGAGGGGATCTGATAAAATCCAAATACATCAATTTATGTCCATAACTTACACCTATATAAATCATACATTCAATCCACCCAACATATTATATCTATGGCATGGTAATACCTTTAAAGGGCTTTAGTGTACTTGCAATATATTTGCATCTTAAGGAAAATAAAACTAATTTCAGTTTTCCTGCCTGGGGATTAGAGTAAGAAGCGTAAATCAGAGTAGGTTTGAAACAGGTGATTAAGGAAGAAATTCCATTGTCTGTTGCTTAAATTACTATATCTAGACAGTCTAATGGATTTCTTAATAGATCAAAACAAACTTTCCTAGGGATGTAACCTACTTCAAGTTTAATATACTTGAAATATATCAACTTGATATTTCCTGCCAATGTGTCACTCAAATACAATGTGAATAAATAGGGGTTATGCACTGGGAGGTTTTGGATACAGGGAATATCCCGAGGGATATACAATATATCTTCCCGAGGGACCGAAGGGACCGAGGGAAGATGTATTGTATATCCCAAGGGATATTCCATGTATCCAAACCGACCGTGCATAACTTGTGTATCTCATACTTGAGTGGGTTAAGGGTAGATATAACCTTTTCCACCTTTTTCAAATGACAAGATATTTATATTTAACATTTTCATAATATTCTTTTTGTTGAACATAATGAAATTGTAACATTTAAACTTAAAAAATTAAATTTTAAAATTAAAAAATTAAAACTTTTGATATTTAAACTTTTTTAAACTTTTGAAAAATTCCCGGGAGCGGGATGGATATATTATATCTGCCCGCATTTGGCCTGGAGCGGGACATATACAATATATCCTGCCCACTCCTCAGATACGATATATATTCCCGGGTGATATCTACCCCAAACCCACTCAAGTATGAGATACAAAGCTTTAACGTGTTACAGGTACATAAAGCAGGTTTGTTTCATCAGCGGACAGCTTTACGTCCCGTATATACACTGTATCTGCCCGCTACGTCAAAATTGCCATTCGCATATTTGTTCATTACTTTATGATTGGTATGGCCAATATAATATATCTACCCTTTGGACCTACGGCCCTCGGACAGATATATTTTATTGGCCTCGGGATAATCCCAATATCCTGAACATCGTATAGGATAATCTCTACGCACTCAGAATAGTTTCAAATAACTTGTAAAATTTAAATGGAAACTCCGCTTTTGTTGAGGTTCACAAAATTTTTGAACATTTCAAAAACTGAATTGGTGATTAACAAAGGTTACACAAATATTGACCTACAAATATACTTATCATAATAATTGTAATGGAAATAAGGCACCTGGAAAAGTAAAGGTGATTCTATAGATATTCTAGAAGTTATTCATATATGCCTATTTTTGGGGTCACCCTGTACCAATTCCAGTTGTTATTGGTGCTTCAGTGTCTGCATGTTTATGTTTACTGGACACCCTGTTGACTCATGGCTATTGTCAGGTCTTTAATCCGTCATTGATTGATCCCAAAACTGCCCAGCAAAGATTATACCTCATAATATGTGAAGTGTGGCCCTTATCGGCAATAAATCAAGAATAAGCTGCATCATGCATTCACCTTAAACAACAATAGCCATTCACATTTTTCTCCATTTCAATTACTTCAGGCAGATAATTGTGTTATAATATGAGGAGAATCAGTCTTTCTCACTGTGTAACTATTTTCAATCAATTCCATCACTTAAAGAGATCGAATTGTCCAGATTTCTCTCTCAGACAATCAGTAATGTCCTAATATAACTGCTCATATAACATCATATATACCTTAGATATATTTTGAGACCAAATCATAAGCACAGTTTCACCAATATATTGAGAAAATCAACAAGACAACCAAAGAACAACCAAGTGACTAGAACACAATAAGTCTAAAACAACATACAATTTTTTCTAGATTTATTTATATTGTAAATTCCTTGTGAGTAATTAATATAACAATCCGAAAGGATAAAAATATGCTGTGATAAAAAAAGAATATAAAAAAAAGATTGCAGACGCCGGGAATCAAACCCAAACCTTTCGGACAAAAGCATAGGACAAAACTGCACCACACCAAGGCTACATATAGTATGCGTCAAATTCTATAACCATATAAATAATTTTAAAAAAGTAATATACACCTCTATTATTTCAAAATGATCAATATATACAAGTTTTTTCATCTAAATTTATAAATAACGATTTATTGAGCATCAAACTTCCCGTTGTCAGTCTTGGCAAATACAATCGGTTCCCGGGATATTGAGCCGAGGCAGACAATCAAAGATCGGAGCACATTGAAGCAGGTTATTTTAATATAATTTCGAATTTCTACTGATGTAAGTAGAAATTATGGATGTGAACAATCATCAAATTGATACAGTTAACGAATTGGCTGAAGCCCCAACATTGGTAAGTCGATAGAAATACTTGTTATACATCATATAACACAAAAATACCAGGGGAGTTAATCTAATCATGCTTTTGGACGATTTGATCTCTTTAAGCTATGAAGTCTGTCTTGTTTTTAGGTACCAAAAAACCAAGAAGTGCCTCCTTTAACCCTTATCCTCCCAGGCACGCTTTAAAACGTGGCCAGCTACACCTCCTGTATAGATTCCATGATTCCGTCAAGTCAGCACTACCATTTACGGTTTGAAAAAATAAATAATAGATCGATTTTCTTGCTACTAAAGCTGTTTATTAGACCACAATACTGATAAATTGATAGAAAAATGGCGCTTCAGAAGAAACTAAAGCACATTTGGAACAGGTGAATTATGACACATGGGGATGATTATGAAGAAACTAGGTGAAATGTGTGTTTGAATTGGTCTTCTCAATCAATTTAAAATTAAAAAATTGAAAAGTAATTATCTCAACCTTGATTTTAAGCTTTCAGAAAGGGGCAAAATTACACTTTTTCACAATTTTAATCGGGATGATAAGGGTTAAATGAATTGCCCTTGTTTGTTCAATTAAGATCATATATCCTTCAGAATATTCCATCAATTTACCCAAAAAAAGATCAATATAATCCTGAAGTGGATGAGATGAAACTGAGACATGCACAGAGCGACTCAAATTTGGCCTATTAGGGAAATAAATGCAATCTACATGTTTTATAGTGGTAATGAAACACATAATTCATATCAAAAGTAAAAGGCGTAATGTTTGATAAAAAGCAGAGTATGTATTAATTTGAAATTGGAAACTGTAACATAACATAGAAAAATAACTGGAAATGAAGGTTTACAGTCAGAAGGTATCAAAAAAGGAAATAAAGGACCCACGGTCCTGTGCTCACACAGTGTTTTGTGCAGCTAATGATGATTGACTTTATACCTGAGAAAGTTCCCTGAAAATGACAAAGTCCTACATTTTGTCAAATTTTATAGAGTAAACACCAAAAACTGTGATTTCAAGAGCTATGAAATCTTCAGAGAACATAAGTTGCATTTAATTTGTGCGGCCAATTTTGACAGACGGACGGACGCCTGGTCTAACCCATAGGCTCACTGTGTGAGCCAATAAAACATATATTAGTAGAGTCAATTCTTCAATACAATACAATTACATATCAACAATATCCCAAACAGTTTATGGTTTCATATTTTAAATCCATTAAAAAATCTTTGCCCCTGCCCCCTTCTATTCACCAAAGTATCATCTTCCAGTTCTCAAATTTCACTAACTTTTCATTTTTTTCAATTGTTAGTTTCCATTATTCAATGAAATGCATCTTTAGGGTGGTAGACTGTATTTTGAAAAATGGGATATGGGGTGAGAGTGACCTCTCGAAATGTCATGATTTTTATGTCTCTCAATATTCAAATGATTTACAAAAATTGGTTTGTTTCATTATTAATATGGACACCTACACATTCACTTAAATCTCTTACCATATTTTGACATTACACATAAAGATATTTCAAACACCCACTCAAAAAAACACATAAATATCTAATTTAAATAAACTAGAAAAACAGCAACTCTCAGAGAATAATTCCAACCTAGGATCGGGAGGATATTATATTTGATCAAATCACTCTTCATTTTGAGCAATTCTTGATACAGCAGTAGTTTAGTATTGTGAAATTTACACCCATGGTGCCAAATAGAACCCAAACTGAGCAGATTATAGCCTAAATCTTTTTCATGAGAATTTACTGGCATTTAGATTTGAGATTCTGAAAAAGGTAGACTGGTTTCACATATAATTCATATAAATCTACAAAACAAAGAAACAAAAACCATAATTTTAAAATGAAGAAAAAAAGCATTATTGTTTTTCAATGACCTGCAAGTTATTGATGCTGAAAACTGAATAAATTAAGAATTAAGCATCCATTTGTA